CCTTTATCGACTACAAAAGAGCGTGATACATATATACACATAAACACACACACCTTTATCGACTACAAAAGAGCACACATAAACATATAAACACACACACCTTTATCGACTACAAAAGAGCGTGATACATATAAACACATAAACACACACACCTTTATCGACTACAAAAGAGCGTGATACATATAAACACATAAACACACACACCTTTATCGACTACAAAAGAGCGTGATACACACACATAAACACACACCTTTATCGACTACAAAAGAGCGTGATACACATAAACACATAAACACACACACCTTTATCGACTACAAAAGAGCGTTATACTCATAAACACATAAACACACACACCTCTATCGACTACAAAAGAGCGTGATACATATAAACACATAAACACACACACCTTTATCGACTACAAAAGAGCGTGATACATATAAACACATAAACACACACACCTTTATCGACTACAAAAGAGCGTGATACATATAAACACATAAACACACACACCTTTATCGACTACAAAAGAGCGTGATACATATAAACACATAAACACAACACACCTTTATCGACTACAAAAGAGCGTGATACATATATACACATAAACACACACACCTTTATCGACTACAAAAGAGCGTGATACATATAAACACATAAACACACACTTTATCGACTACAAAAGAGCGTGATACATATAAACACATAAACACACACACCTTTATCGACTACAAAAGAGCGTGATACATATAAACATATAAACACACACACCTTTATCGACTACGAGCGTGAATACATATAAACACATTAAACACACACACCTTTATCGACAACAAAAGAGCGTGATACATATAAACACATAAACACACACACCTTTATCGACTACAAAAGAGCGTGATACACATAAACACATAAAACACACACACCCTTTATCGACTACAAAAAGAGCGTGATACATAAAACATATAAACACACACACCTTATCGACTACAAAAGAGCGTGATACATATAAACACATAAACACACACACCTTTATCGACTACAAAAGAGCGTGTACACATAAACACATAAACACTAAACACACACACCTTTATCGACTACAAAAGAGCGTGATACATATAAACACATAAAACACACACACCTTTATCGACTACAAAAGAGCGTGATACACATAAAACACATAAACACACACACCTTTATCGACTACAAAAAGAGCGTGATAAACACACACACCTTATCGACTACAAAAGAGCGTGATACATATAAACACATAAACACACACACCTTTATCGACTTACAAAGAGCGTGATACATATAAACACATAAACACACACACCTTTATCGACTACAAAAGAGCGTGATACACATAAAACACATAAACACACACACCTTTATCGACTACAAAAGAGCGTGATACATATAAACACATAAACACACACACCTTATCGACTACAAAAGAGCGTGATACATATAAACACATAAACACACACACCTTTATCGACTACAAAAGAGCGTGATACATATAACACATAAAACACACACCTTTATCGACTACAAAAAAGAGCGTGATACATATAAACACATAAACACACACACCTTTATCGACTACAAAAGACATACATAAACACACACACACCTTTATCGACTACAAAAGAGCGTGATACATATAAACACATAACACACACACCTTTATCGACTACAAAAGAGCGTGATACATATAAACACATAAACACACACACCTTTTCGACTACAAAAGAGCGTGATACATATAAACACATAAACACACACCTTTATCGACTACAAAAGAGCGTGATACATATAAACACATAAACACACACACCTTTATCGACTACAAAAGAGCGTGATACATATAAACACATAAACACACACACCTTTATCGACTACAAAAGAGCGTGATACATATAACACATAAACACACACACCTTTTATCGACTACAAAAGAGCGTGATACAACATAAACACATATAAACACACACACCTTTATCGACTACAAAAGAGCGTGATACATATAAACACATAAACACACACACCTTTATCGACTACAAAAGAGCGTGATACATATAAACACATAAACACACACACCTTTATCGACTACAAAAGAGCGTGATACACATAAAACACATAAAACACACACACCTTTATCGACTACAAAGAGCGTGATACATATATAACACATAAACACACACACCTTTATCGACTACAAAAGAGCGTGATACATATATACACATAAACACACACACCTTTATCGACTACAAAAGAGCGTGATACATATAAACACATAAACACACACACCTTTATCGACTACAAAAGAGCGTGATACATATAAACAATAAACACACACACCTTTATCGACTACAAAAGAGCGTGATACATATAATACACATAAACACACACACCTTTATCGACTACAAAAGAATACCACACATACCTTATCGACTACAAAAGAGCACATAATAACACATAACACACACACCCTTTATCGACTACAAAGAGCGTTATACACATATAAACACATAAACACACACACCTTTATCGACTCGTGATACACATAAACATATAAACACACACACCTTTATCGACTACAAAAGAGCGTGATACATATAAACATATAAACACACACACCTTTATCGACTACAAAAAAAGAGCGATACACATATATACACATAAACACACACACCTTTATCGACTACAAAAGAGCGTGATACATATAAACACATAAAACACACACTATCGACTACAAAAAGCTACATAAAACACATCTTTATCGACTACAAAAGAGCGTGATACATATAAACACATAAACACACACACCTTTATCGACTACAAAAGAGCGTGATACATATAAACACATAAACACACACACCTTTATCGACTACAAAAGAGCGTGATACATATATACACATAAACACACACACCTTTATACAAAAGAGCGTGATACATATAAACATAAACACACACAATTTGATACATGATCGACTACAAAAGAGCGTGATACATATAAACACATAAACACACACACACCTTTATCGACTACAAAAGAGCGTGATACATATAAACATATAAACACACACACCTTTATCGACTACAAAAGAGCGTGATACATATAAACACATAAACACACACACTTTATCGACTACAAAAGAGCGTGATACACATAAACACATAAACACACACACCTTTATCGACTACAAAAGAGCGTGATACATATAAACATATAAACACACACACCAAAAACTAGTCATATGATGCTCATCCACTCTACATGGATACAAAAAAATACAGTTTGTGTTGATAATGTCCTTGGTGATTGGTTTACGGCTAACGTTGGAGTCAAGCAAGGATGTATGCTGTCTCCTTATCTATTCATTTTCTTAAAACTATGATAGAGAACGATCATTTCGAAGGTAACGATAAAATTGATGGTAGACAGATTACAGATCTTAGGTTTGTAGACGATATCGACCTACAAGGAGAATCAGAAATAAAACTTCATGATAAAAACAATATTAAATAAATGAATGAGTAAATAAAAAATATACACACCTTAAAGGAAGTTTCGTATGGAAAAAGGTACCGAAAAAAGGTAAGATCTTAGTGGCAGGAAAAACTATATATTACAAAACCTCAGATATATGGAAACTAAAAAAAAAAAAAATAATAATAAATAATAATAATAATAATAATAATAATAATAATAATAATAAATAAGAGAATATACACACCGTTGCAAAACCTCAGATATATTTAAATGGCGAAATACTGGAAAATGTAGCTGAGGACCCTATAGAACTGAAAATGTTGACACAAATCCTGAGATAAAAAGCAGATTGGCAATGGCAATTACAGGCATGACAAAACTAGACGTTCAATCAGAGATGTAAGCTTGCAACTTTCTCTCTTGCTCTTACACATTCTCTTGATCTTTCGCCCTCTCTTCTCTCTCTCTCCCTCTTGCATTCCCTCTCTCTCTCTCTTGCTCTCTCTCTCCCTCTCTCTCTCGCTCGCTCTCTCACCTCCTCTCTCTCTCACTTGCCCTTTCTCTTTTTCTCTCTTTCCTTTTCTCTTTCATTCTCTCTCTCTCTCCTTCTCTCTCTCTCTCTCTCTCTCCTCTCTCTCTCTCTCTCTCTCTCTCTCTCTCTCTCCTCTCCTCTCTCTCTCTCTCTCTCTCTCTCTTTCGCTCTTTCACCTCCTTACTCTCACTTGCCCTTTCTCTCTCTCACTCTATCTATCTATCTATCTATCTCTCTTTCTCTCTCTCACTTGCTCTCTCTCTCTCTCTCTCTCTCTCTCTCTCTCTCTCTCTCTCTCTCTCTCTCTCTCTCTCTCTCTCTCTCTCTCTCACTCTCTCACTCTCACTCTCACTCTCACTCTCTCTCACTCTCACTCTCACTCTCACTCTCACTCTCTCTCTCTCTCTCTCACTCTCTCTCTCTCTCTCTCTCTCTCTCTCTCTCTCTCTCTCTCTCTCTGGTAATCTGGCAACACTGGTCAAACTAAAGAAATGCAAAAGAACCAAAAGCTGGGAAGCAGTGGGAGGTCGTGCAAGGGATATCAGTTTTTTCCTCTTTCTGGGGGTGGAAGGGTAACGCTGACGACCGTCATTTTCTGGGTTGCTGCGAGAAAGGTCTAAATAAGTACTTATATACAAGGTCTACATAAGTACTTATATAGACCTTGCTTATATAGATCTTGAATATCTTTTTGAAAAACGAGCTTTTCCGTGAGCAATTGTGTAAGCTGCGATCGGAGTTACGGAGTAATTTCAGCAAAAAAAATTCGTGGAAGAGTGGATCTTTGGGGGGGCGGGGCGGGGCGTTCAGCCAGATCTTGAGGGGGGTAATCAGAAAATTGAGGGAGCAATTAGCCCCCAGCCCCACCAAATGACGCCCCTGAGTCGAGCCCTCAAAGAGCATTTAATTTGCCTCCCTTATCCCCGGGTCGCAGCGGCAGCCGTGTTACGCGAACGGCTCCCGCGAACGCCTATTGTGATGTAACAGCCGCTGTGTAGTCTGCTGCAGGCGGTGCAAGTGGAGGCGAGTGAAGGGCACTAGAATTGAGGAGGGCGACTATAGAGACAAAGATGTTCGTGGCAGCGCTGATAACGAAGCAAGTGAGACACGCGGCCACCGGTAGAAGAATATTACAAGGATTTCAGAGACAGAGTGATCGAAATAAAGTTGGAACTGTAGCAGTGAGGAGCTTCATTACCTCCGTTGACCGTAAGGATGTTAAGAATCATAGGATTATACTATGAAAGAGAGCTCTAATAAATTGATGAACGGAGTATTAAACGTTGAGTGTTTTTATATTAATTTTATTGTAATATCAGAGGGTATATATAGGAATTTTCCCCTTGTGTAAGACCCCGGTTGAATAATAAGCTAAACAATACTTGTCATAATTTTTTCTTCGGTAATTATTGAAAGGAAATTCTACTATTTTTCAAAGGAAATACATAAACATGTAGTTTGGCGCACTGTATTTAGATATTCATGTTGTAAATTAGGTGTCTGCTAGCTTTTAGCCAGTCACTAAATTTTGGGAATTTTTTTGTTATAACTTTGTATAACCGATCACGACAATTTTTGTTATTGATGCATTCCTCTCACTCTCTACTCTCCAAATATATTGAAATTATGGAAACTCCATTAGCAAAAGTCTTGGCCCTGATAACATGGAGGGCATGAAAGGTACCATGGAAATCGAAGGGTAATATATGAATAGTATACACAGAATTAGTCATTATATCATGTAATGCAGAGGACAGCACCCCCTGCAATCCCACTCCGAGGGGGCAGCAATGGAAGACAAAGAATCCACCAAGTAGGCCCATGCACGGTAAGGTAGAGTGTATGATTGACATGTGGCAGCGCCCGATGCTGAGCCTGTCCTGCGCTCTATCCTACTTTATGATACATGGTGGATTCTTTGTTGGCCAGGGCAGGGGTTGGAGGGCAGTTGCAGGGGGGGCACAGCCTCCTGAATTTGACTCTATGTTAACCATTTCTCTGTATATTTTTCATAATTTACCCCATAATTTCCCTGGCACTGTTCATACCCTCCCCTACAATCGGGGCCAAGATTATGGGTATGGGGGGGGGTCAATATATTTGGGTAGTAGACAGTAAGAGGAATCCACCGATACCAAAATCACTGCCATTGGTTATATAAAGGTATTCCTAAAGATTACCAAATTTTGAAGTATGAATATTGGAATGGTCGCATTTTAAAAACAATTTGAATGTCTGATCCATTTTGTTCTAATTTAATGCCATTTTCATAATACCATAAACATGCAATCAAGCATATACAAGAAAAAGGTAATATTTTATGTTTCCCACATGTTTTTTAAGAAAAATCATAAAAGAAAAAAAAAATGGAAAGGGCATGCTAGTAACTGCCTTTCTAATCTCATTTTCCCTTTCTAAATTTAGTATTTAGTCTTTAAAGTATTGATTATGCAGTATTGAAAGCAATGAAATTATATAAAATTTGATTGTTTCAAAAAAAAAAAAAAAAATTATTTTTCCCACTTTCTGGATTGGGCAAAATC